TTTATATTGTATTTTTACTGTGCTGTCTCCCTTTATATTGTAAAGCACTGCACAAACTGTTGGCACTATATAAATCTGGTATAATAATAATAATCTACAACAGCAACAGATGCCCATAACAGGTCTAAGGTGGGAGGATATACTGCGCAGGATTCAAATCCTTTTCTGTTATACCCACAGTGAGATCAGGAACATGAGATCTATAGAACATCAGGTGTACATTATAGCTGTGTGTGTGTGTGTGTGTGTGTGTGTGTGTGTGTGTGTGTGTGTGTGTAAAATGCTGTATATTAAGAATGCTTTCAGAAATATAAATGTTTACTAGTATATTTTTTTCAGTTAACAAAATGGAAAGTAAATGAACAGAAGAGAAATCCAAATCAATATTTGGGGTGACCACCCTTTGTCTTCAAAACGGCATCAGTTATTCTAGGTACACCTGCACACAGTTTTTGCAGGAATTTGGCAGGTATAGTGCTTTGAAAAAGTATTCATACCCCTTGAAATTTTCCACTTTGTCATGTTACAACCAAAAATGTAAATGTGTTGGTCTATCACATAAAATCCAATGAAATACAAAGTGGCACATGATTGTGAAGTGGAAGGAAAATGATCAATGGTTTTCAAAATCTTTTACAAATATCTGAAAAGTGTGGCATGCATTTGTATTCAACCCTCTACTCTGATACCCCTAACTAAAATCTAGTGAAACCAATTGCTTTCAGAAGTCACGTAATTGGCAAATAGAGTCCACCTGTATGTAATTTAATCTCAGTATAAATACAGCTGTTCTGTGAAGCCCTCAGAGGTTTGTTAGAGAACATTAGTGAAAAAACAGCATCATGAAGGTCAAGGAACACACCGGAGAAGTTTAACCACATGCCGCTCAGCCACTGTAGAAATATGGCGGCAGGGTGGCATGGCTGGGCAAAATCACGGTTTAAAACGTGTGTTTTCAAAACAGGGTAGGGTGCGCACACGGTCGTTACCGGCTATGTCCCGGCGATTAGCGTCAATCAGTGACAGAGAGCACCCTACCTGTCCCGCCGATCACGGACCGCGGATGTCAGTCGCCGGGCTGTGTCCCGCTGATTAGCGGCAATCACTGACAGAGAGCAGGGCTGCAGTAGCTCTGCTTTCTGTCAGTTCCCTGACCGCTCCTGACATGCTGAGCGGAGAGAATAGTTTTCTCTCTCCCGATCAGCGTGTCCCCATGCAGTACACACCCCTGCCCCCTAGTAAAACACTCCCCTCACACAGTTAACCCTTTCAGTAAATAAAGTTAACCCCTTCCTCCCCAGTGCCAGTAGTACAGTGTCAGTGGTTTTTTTTGCACTGATCACTGTATTGGTGTCACTGGGGATGTCAGTGACCCCAAGTCAGTTCCCCCCCCAGTGTCAGAATGTCCGCCTCAGTCCTGCCATAAGTCGCGGATCGCCGCCATTATTAGTATAAAAAAAAATTAAAAATCCCAGTATCTTTCCCGCCATTTGTAAACTCTATAACTTTCACGTAAACCAATTAATTTACACGTATTGGGTTTTTTTTTTTTAGCAAAGACATGTCGCAGAATGCATTTTGGCTGAAATTTATAATGAAATTCGATTTTTAAATATTTTTTTTTACTGGACATGTTTTATAGCAAAAAGTCCAAAATATTATTTTTTTTTTCTCAAAATTGTCAGCCTTTTTTTTTTTTTTTTTTTTTTTTTTTTTTTAATAGCGCAAAAAAAAAACAATGCACAGGCGATCAAATACCACTGAAAGAAAGCTCTATTTGTGTGAAAAAAAGGACATAAATTTTATTTATGTACCGTATTGCATGACCGCGCAATTGTCTAGCACAGCGCTGTATAGCAAAAAAAGGCGTAAATTGCAGTATCTATACTATAGTTTGTAGACTCTAACTTTCACACAAAGCAATCAATATCCACTTATTGGGATTTTTTTTAAAACGTAGCAGAATACATTTTGGCCTAAATTTATAACTAACTTTGAGTTTACTATATATTTTTTTTATAGCTGAAATTAAAAAATATTATTTTTCTTCAAAATGTTTGGTCTTTTTTTGTTTATAGCGCAAAAAATAAATGCACAGGTGATCAAATGGAACCGAAAGAAAGCTCTATTTGTGTGAAAAAAAGGACGTAAATTTTGTTTGGGTGCAGCATTGCATGACCGCGCAATTATCAGTTGAATTAGTGCAGCGCCGAGTAGCAAAAAGAGGCTGGTCATTAAGGGGGGTAAATCCTAAGGAGTGCAAGTGGTTAAAGCAGGGTTGGGTTATAAAAAAAATATTCCACGCTTTGAACATCTCACAAAACACTGTTCAATCCATCATCCGAAAATGGAAAGAGTATGGCACAACTGCAAACTTACAAAGACATGGCCGTCCATCTAAACTGACAGGCCAGGCAAGGAGAGCATTAATCAGAGAAGCAGCCAAGAGGCCCATGATAACTCTGGAGGAGCTGCAGAGATCCACATCTCAGGTGGGAGAATCTGTCCACAGGACAACAATTAGTTGTGCACTCCACAAATCCGACCTTTATGGAAGAGTGGCAAGCAGAAAGCCTTAAGAAGTACTGTTTGCAGTTTGTGAGAAGCCATGTGAGGGACACAGCAAACATGTGGAAGAAGGTGCTCTGGTCACATGAGACCAAAATAGAACTTTGTCCTAAAAGCAAAATGCTATGTGTGGCGGAAAACTAAGACTGCAAATCACTCTGAACACACCATCCCCACCGTGAAATGTGGTGGTAGTATCTTGTTGTGGGGTGCTTTTCTTCAGCAGGGATAGGGAAGCTGGTCAGACTTGATGGGAAGATGGATGGAGCCAAATACAGGGCAATCTTAAAAGAAAACCTGTTAGTCTGCAAAAGACTTGAGATTGAGGTGGAGGTTTACCTTCCAGCAGGACAACGACCCTAAACATACAGCCAGAGCTACAATGGAATGGTTTAGTTCAAAGCATATTCATGTGTTAGACTGGCCCAGTCAAAGTTTAGACCTAAATCCAATTGAAAATCTGTGGCAAGACTTGAAAATTGCTTTCAGATGCTCTCCATCCAATCTGACAGAGCTTGAGCTATTTTGCAAAGAAGAATGGGCAAAAATGTCACTCTAGATGTGCAAAGCTGGTAGAGACCTCCCCAAAAAGACTTGTAATTGCAGCGAAAGGTGGTTCTACAAAGTATTGACTCAGGGGGGCTGAATACAAATACACTTTCAGATATTTATTTGTAAAAAATTTTGAAAACCATTTATAATTTTTCTTCCACTTCACAACGTTGTGCCACTTTGTGTTTTGGTCTATCACATAAAATCCCTATAAAATTCATTTACATATTTCTGGTTGTAACATGACAAAAATGTGGAAAATTTCAAGGGGTATGAATACTTTTTCAAAGCACTGTAGGTTGTTCCATACATCTTGGAGAACTAACCACAGATCTTCTGTAGATGTAGTCTGCCTCAAATCCAAACTTGGCTTTATGTTTAGGATCTTTGTCCTGCTGCAGAATAAATTTGGGGCCAGTCACAGGCCTCCCTGACGATATGGCATGATGGGTAAGTATCTACCTGTATTTCTCCGCATTGAGGACACCATTGATCCTGAGCAAATATACAACTCCATTTGCAGAAATGCAGTCCCAAACTTGCAAGGAACCTCCTCCATGCTTCACTGCTACCTGCGGATACTCATTGTACTGCTCTCTAGCCCTGTGGCGAAGAAAGTGCCTTTTGCTACAGCCAAACATTTCAACCCATCAGTCCAAAGCATTTGTTGCCATTTTTCTACACCCAAGTTCCTATGTTTTGTTCCTATGAGTTGCTTAGCCTTGTTTCCACGGGGGAGGTATGGCTTTTGGCCTCTACCATGAAGACCACTTCTGGCCAGACTTCTCTGGACAGTAGATGGGTGTACCTGGGTCCCATAGGTTTCATCCAGTTCTGTGCTGATGGTACTGATGGACATCTTTCTGTGTTGAAGTGAAATATGATGTCTTTCATCTTCTGCATTACATTTCCATGGCCCAACCACTGTATATGGTCCTCAATTGCCTGTATCTTTGTGCCTCTTCAAAGGAGCTTGAACAGAACATCTTGAAATCATTGCCAGGGAGAGACCTTGCTGATGCAGTATAACTACCTCTTATCTTGTTGCTGTGCTTAGTCTTGCCATGTACCAAGACTTAGTAGCAGAGTTTGGCTGCTCCTCACCCAGTTTTAAGACTCCTACACAGCTGTTTCAGTTAATGACTGCGTTTCAGCCTACATATGAAACTGATGATCATTAACGCTTGGTATAAATGGTTAACCATACACCTAACTCAGCTTCCAGTTTTTTTTTAATCAGAGCTTAATTGAACAAGCTGAAGTTAGAAGCTGATTGACTACCATGCACAGCTGCACCAGATCTTTCACTCTAGTTTTAGTAAATCAACCCTATTGAGTTGATTTAGATTTTTCTTCTATTCGATCACTTTGCATTTTGTAAATTGATAAAAATAAAGAATTAAAATATATATTTTTGAAAGCCGTCTTTTACAGCATTACTGAACACCTGCCTAAAACGTGTGTGTGTGTGTGTGTGTGTGTGTGTGTGTGTGTGTGTGTGTGTGTGTGTGTGTGTGTGTGTGTGTGTGTGTGTGTGTGTGTGTGTGTGTGTGTGGTGTTGTGTGTGTGTGTGTGTGTGTGTGTGTGTGTGTGTGTGTGTGTGTGTGTGTGTGTGTGTGTGTGTGTGTGTGTGTGTGTGTGTGTGTGTGTGTGTGTGTGTGTGTGTGTGTGTGTGTGTGTGTGTGATTTTGTAATGGAAAGCTGACTTTCACGTAGAGCTTAGGAACATTCTTTGATGGTAACCAGAGGCATATATTAATGAACAAATGGTAAACAGTCTGCTGGGCTGTCATAAGATTTCATGTTTGTTTAAACACAGCTACTACTGTTCTAATTTAAGTGACAATTTTATGAAAAGCAATAACTATATTCTTACACAGGTATGGGTTCCATGGAGGGGCAAAGCTTGAATGAAAGTTGGATAGAATTTAAAGACAAATTTTGGGAGTTCTATAAGGTAAGAAAATAGTAAAATAAACTTATATATAAAAATATATATATATAAAATCGAGCGCACAGTAGGATGTAGATATGGTAGCTGCTGGCACAAAAGGCACCTCGTGAACCTCCAGAGTAAATAATAAAGCATAAAAGTGCAGCGCTAATTAAACAATAGTTACACAATAATAGATCACATATGATTGTGGATCAGTAAAATGACTGCGTAAGTTCATCAGATGTGCTGAATAAGCATACAGTCTCCAACAAGTGAGGAACCAGAAATAGTGAATATCAGAAAATAGCCAAGTAATGCACTAACCAGATAGCGCATGTTAAAGCGCATGGGACATTTAAGACCTGTCCCTGTACTCAGCCACTGTATCACTGGAACAAGGCGGTGTCATCTATAGGGTGACCACTAGATGTCATCTGTCCGGGTGTATCCAGCCACTGTATTAATGGATCAGGAGGGTGTCATCTATAGGGTGACCACTAGATGTCATCGGTTCCAGGGGAAGCTGTATCACGGATCCAGGGATGTCACTTGCAGATGTGTGTTCTTGCTAGGCACAGCACCAGGACCTTCTGGATTCAGGCTCCCCACAAATAAAGAGCCAGTGGAAAAAGGCCTCTGATGATGTGTACTTACACGATACGCGTTAGGGAAGTGCCAAGCTATGTTTATCCTATGTACATGTACCTCCGGGTCTGGCCGTTTATGAGCAGCTGAACCTTTGTTAGTAAGTCCTTTTTTGATTGCTTATTGACCTAAAATAAACGATATCACACTATTTGAGGCCTTTTTCCACGGGCTCTTTATTTGTGGGGAGCCTGAATCCAGAAGGTCCTGGTGCTGTGCCTAGCAAGAACACATCTGCAAGTGACATCCCTGGATCCGTGATACAGCTTCCCCTGGAACCGATGACATCTAGTGGTCACCCTATAGATGACACCCTCCTGATCCATTAATACAGTGGCTGGATACACCCGGACAGATGACATCTAGTGGTCACCCTATAGATGACACCGCCTTGTTCCAGTGATACAGTGGCTGAGTACCAGGGACAGGTCTTAAATGTCCCATGCGCTTTAACATGCGCTATCTGGTTAGTACATTACTTGGCTATTTTCTGATATTCACTATTTCTGGTTCCTCACTTGTTGGAGACTGTATGCTTATTCAGCACATCTGATGAACTTACGCAGTCATTTTTACTGATCCACAATCATATGTGATCTATTATTGTGTAACTATTGTTTAATTAGCACTGCACTTTTATGCTTTATTAATAAAATAGTAAGTCATGTGCTTGGTATAGTAAAAATACAGACAATAATTAGCTAATAAGCTTAAAACCTGACTCAAGGCTTGTTACTTGTAAATCAAACCCACTATAGCGGTTTCCCCCCCCCCCCCCCTCCCCACCACTATGCAAAAAGACAGACTTATTACACTGTCCACACCTCTTTATAATAACTTTTTTTTTTTCCCATACATCTAGATGGAATTTTTTAAGTTATGGTGTGTTTGGTAATTTTAATGTGTTTTTTATATAAGATATACTTTTGATAAATAATTGCACAACTGTCAAAGCACCTTCAAAATCAGTAGCACCATCTTTTTAGTCTTATCAGTCCTGTGCTTTCAGAAAATGTGTGGCTTTTAAAACTGATAGCTGTAAGTGAAAACTGATAAAATGAAAAAATTGCAAAAAAAGGTTTGGTACCAAGATGTGAAAAATGGAGAGCAGGGCGTGGCAGAGGATTAATTTGTGTAAACTACAAATAGTTTTGCCTGCAATAAATGTTTTCCATTACATCTTCTGCTTTTGACATTTTTGTTCTTAATACATTTTATTTTTTTTTATGTACAGTTGCAAGAAAAAGTATGTGAACCCCTTGGGATTACGTGGAGTTTTGCATGAATTGGGCATAAAATGTGCTCTGAACGTCATCTAAGTCACAATAGAAGAACACAGTCTGCTGAACATAATACTACACAAACATTAGATGTTGCCATGGTTTAATTGCACATAACATGTTTGTGTAGTATTTTATGTTCAGCAGACTGTGTTCTTCTATTGTTGTGACTTAGATGACGTTCAGAGCACATTTTATGCCAAATTCATGCAAAACTCCACGTAATCCCATGGGGTTCACATACTTTTTCTTGCAACTGTACTTGTTAATTTACATGGTGTTTAACTCTACACTTATGTTTTTCTTTTAGGCTGATTGGACTGTATGGCCTGCTGCTCAAATGATCAATTTCTACTTCCTGCCTCCAAAGTTTCGTGTCATTTATATCAATGTGATCACATTAGGATGGGATACTTACCTTTCTTACCTTAAACACAGGGTAGGTAATTTAAATGAACTATAAACAAAGTGTTCTGCTCCAAATACTGACTATACATATTTTTATTTTGCTGACAACTTTGTTTTCTGTCAGCTTTCGTCCATAATCATTGTTTGTAGTTAACCAGTTGCAAGTGACAAAATAATTAGGTTTAAGCTTAATAAATAGAAAATGCCTTTTGAAGTTGCACTGTAGTGGTTTGATTGGATTCAAAGTGCAGTTTTGATTGTTTAAATTGAACCTTGGTCTTGAGAAGGATAGAAACTGCAAAAGAAACTGTATTGCCAGCATATGCGATCTTTGTATAGCTGCAATTTTTTTAACAAATGGGATTAAGAACAGATAAGACATAAATGGATTTGAGCGCAAGTTCGTTGACTCTTAGACTGGGTTTGTACTGATGCGGTGCGGAATATGCAGCGTTTTGTGTTCGAAATCCACACCGCATCAGAATCGCACCCCGTTTATGCGAACCGCTGCGGATGTGTGTTAACACCCCGGAATTGAATCGCAAAACGCGGCGCACTGTGCAGAATCGGATTGCATAGGTGTAAATACCCATGTGATCCGATTCTATTGCTGACCCAAGAAAGGGTCCTGCACTTTTTTTTGATGCGGTGTGATTTGAGCCATACATAATGTATGACTCAAATTGCACCACACAGAATTCGCATGTGATCCGCACAGGAATGCGGTGCAGTTCCTGTGCGAATCACATGCGATGTACTGCACCGCACTAGTGTGAACCCAGCCTTAAGGGGGCTCGTTCACACCAATGTGCAGAGACATCCATTTTTCTGCACACAATTTGCAATCAATTGTGGCTTATGTGCCCTTTAACACCACAACACTAGTATCACGTGCAGATTTTTTTCTGCGCAGGAATCTGCAACATGTATAAAAGTCATTGCAGCGACTATGAAAACTGATGTGTCTACAAGTGAAATCGAAGTGTCAGTTTCCATCAGTTTTTCTGCATTTATGGTGTGAACGAGGCCTAAAGCAAGTGTTTGCCACTGCACATGGGTACTTTGACACATACCAGATGAAGCCAGTTGGATACGTCATGTTAACCTGTGATCAGCACCAATGCACAAATTTCTTTTGGTATTAATTTAACTTTTTTTTTTTTTTTTGTCTGTCTGTCTTGTTCTATGTAAAATGAAATTTTATATGATGGCTAGGAGTCCACAAAAAAGCACCTGAGTAAATTCTACTGCAATCAACTGGTTTTTATGTGAATTAAAACTTTAAATTTATAGGCTGCTGCAAACACCCTAGTAGTAGTATTCTTTCATTCTGGGCAAATTCTATGTGACCAATGCCTTGACTTGGAGGAGGTACTAATTCAGGTGATTACAGGGCCAGATTTTAGTTTAAGTCCCATACAGTGCCTTGAAAAAGTATTCATACCCCTTGAAATTTTCCACATTTTTGTCATGTTACAACCAAAAATGTAAATGTATTTTATTGGGATTTTATGTGATAGACCAACACAAAGTGGCACATAATTGTGAAGTGGAAGGAAAATGATAAATGGTTTTCAAAATTTTTTACAAATGCATATCTGAAAAGTGTGGTGTGCATTTGTATTTGGCACCCCTGAGTCAATACTTTATAGAACCACCTTTCGCTGCAGTTACAGCTGCAAGTCTTTTTGGGGATGTCTCTACCAGCTTTTCACATCTAGAGTGACATTTTTGCCCATTCTTCTTTGCAAAATAGCTTAAGCTCTGTCAGATTGGATGGAGAGCATCTGAACAATAATTTTCAAGTCTTGCCACAGATTCTCAATTGGATTTAGGTCTGAACTTTGACTGGGCCATTCTAACACATAAATATGCTTTAATCTAAACCATTCCATTGTAGATCTGGCTGTATGTTTTAGGGTCGTTGTCCTGCTGGAAGGTAAACCTCCACCTCAGTCAAGTCTTTTGCAGACTATAACAGGTTTTCTTTTAGGATTGCCTTGTATTTGGCTCCATCAATCTTCCCATCAACTCTGACCAGCTTACCTGTCCCTGCTGAAGAAAAGCATCCCCACAACATGATGCTTTCACCACGTTTCACAGTGGGGGTGGTGTGTTCAGGGTGATGTGCAGTGTTCGTTTTTTTGCTACACATAGCATTTTGCTTTTAGGCCAAAAACGTAAAATTTTGTTCTCCTCTGACCAGAACACCTTCTTGCACATGTTTGCTGTGTCCCCCACATGGCTTCTGGCAAAATGCAAGCAGGACTTCTTATGGCTTTCTTTTAACAATGGCTTTCTTCTTGCCACTCTTCCATAAAGGCCAGATTTGTGGATTGCACAACTAATTTGTTGTCCTGTGGACAGATTCTCCCACCTGAGTTGTGGATCTCTGCAGCTCCCCCTGGCTGCTTCTCTGATTTTATGTTGTCCTTGTCTGGCCTGTCAGATCAGGCGGACTGCCATGTCTTGGTTGGTTTGCAGTTGTGCCATACTCTTTCCATTTTCAGATGATGGATTGAACAATGCTCAATGAGGTGTTCAAAGCTTGGGATATTTTTTATAATCTAACCCTGCTTTAACCTTCTCCACAACTTTATCCCTGTACACACAGGTGGACTCTATTTACTAATTAGATGACTTATGAAGGCAATTGGTTCCACTAGATTTTAGTTGGGGGTATCAGAGTAAAGGGGGCTGAATACAAATGCATGCCACGCTTTTCAGATATTTATTTGTAAAACAATTTTGAAAACCATTTATCATTTTCTTTCCACTTCACAATTATGTGCTACTTTGTGTTGGTCTATCACATAAAATCCCAATAAAATTAATTTACCTTGACAAAATGTGGAAAATTTCAAGGGGTATGAACACTTTTTTCAAGGCATTGTAGACCATGGTCTTATGGTACTAGGGCAGTACAAATAAATGGGGAGGGGTTACTGTAGATATTAGGTTTTTTTATTGCTGACTTTGTGTCATTAGAAAAGGAACTGATGGGAAAGCAAGAACAGGAAAACAGGCAGCAACGTGAAACTGGATTTTAGCCAAATAATTACTGTTTTGTTAAAGCCATTTCTATGTATAAAAAATTTACCATTTTAAAATGAAATGTATTTGCATTTAAAGTATTAAACTCCAGTAAGTAAACTTTATTTGTGTTTTTTATCACATGCAGCCTGAAGAATCGACTGAAGAACCAAAGAGGCAGGTTCCAGAAGAATGTGTGCCTGCCACCACTCATTTGCCAAAAACCCTAGATAAGAATGTCTAAGGGAAATATACTAGCTGTCTGTGCATAAGTCTGACATATAATTTTATATCTATATCTTTGATGCCATAGCACCGCCCAACTGCCATTTTTATTTCAAAGTAAGATTGAGCATGTGATTGCTTGATTTTTAAGTGCCAACACATTTTGCCATTTCTGTTTTTATATCTACATTCAAAGGTGTGCTTTAAGATACAGTTACCTACTAAGCTGTAAAAATTATGTTGCTGTATATTTCTGAATTTTCAAAACAGGCTGGTATTCTTGTGTACTGATATGTAAGATTCCTGGGATACTAAATACCTATGTTTAATAATTGGTGCTTATATTTTTTATATTTTTTTGTAAATGATCTATATAATGAAAATTAATTTATTGTGTTCATCATTGCCATTTTTATTTTGTTCATCTAGAACTTGACAGACTGTTTGTTTTGTCTCTAGAGTGTAATCAAAGCATTTGTGATTTAGCTTTGGCTCACATTTTTGTGCGAGTGTGAAGTGTGACTTTCATGCCACTTGATGCGACTTTAGAGTCTATATGACTCAAGTCACATTAAAGCTGCATCAAAGTAATGCAGGAACTTGTTTTAAAAGTTGCTGCGACTTGAGGTGCATTGATTGGAACAGCCACCTTTGTAATTTAACCACTTGCCCTCCTGAGGATTTACCCCCCCCTTAATGAATGACCAGGCCTCTTTTTGCTACTCGGCTCTGCACTAATTCAACTGATAATTGCGCGGTCATGCAATGCTGCACCCAAATGAAATTTACGTCCTTTTTTTCACACAAATAGCTTTCTTTTGGTGGGATTTGATCACCTGTGCACTTTTATTTTTCACGCTATAAACAAAAAAAGACCAAAAATTTTGAAGAAAAACGATATTTTTTACTTTCAGCTATAAAAAATATATCGTAAAACTCAAAGTTAGTTATAAATTTAGGCCAAAATGTATTCTGCTACATGTTTTTAGTACAAAAAAAATCCCAATAAGTGTAGACGCTATAACTTTCACACAAAGCAATCAATATACAAACTATGGTATAGATACTGCAATTTACGCCATTTTTTTTTTTTTGCTATACTGCATTAGTTTAATGGACAATTGCGCTGTCATGCAATACGGTACATAAATGAAATTTAATTTTTTTTTTTCCCCCACAAATTGAGCTTTTTTTTGGTGGTATTTGATCGCCTGTGCGGTGGTTTTTTTTTTTTTTTTTTTTTTTGCGCTATAAAAAAAAGCTGACAATTTTGAGGGAAAAAAAACAATATTTTGGACTTTTTGCTATAAAACATGTCCAGTAAAAAATTTAAAAATCATATTTAGTCATAAATTTCTGCCAAAGTGCATTCTGCGACATGTCTTTGCTACAAAAAACCCAATACGTGTAAATTAATTGGTTTACGTGAAAGTTATAGCGTTTACAAATGGCGGGAAAGATACTGGGATTTTAAATTTTTTTTTTTATACTAATAATGGCGGCAATCAGCGACTTATGGCGGGACTGCGGCGGACATTCTGACACTGGGGGGGGAACTGACTTGGGGTCACTGACATCCCAGTAACACCAATACAGTGGTCAGTGTAAAAAAACAAAACAAAACACGGACACTGTACTAATGGCACTGGGGAGGAAGGGGTTAACTTTATTATTCAGTGAAAGGGTTAACTGTGTGAGGGGAGTGTTTTTTACTAGGGGGCGGGGGGCGGGGGTGTGTACTGCAGGGAACACTCCTGATCGGGACAGAAACTCTTCTGTCCCGAGCAGCGTGTCAGGAGCTGTCAGGGAACTGACAAAGCACAGCTACTGCAGCTGTGCTCTGTCACTGATTGCCACTAATCTGTTTTAAAAACGTGGTTTTGCCCAGCCGTGCAGCTCTGCCGCCGTATTTCTACAGTGGCTGGGCGGCATGTGGTTAATGGGGTTTTCACTTGTCATCATGCTATCTCACTATCTGTTGCAAGCCGCACCAGAGTGAACTGGGGCTGAAAGTTAGAGAAAAAGCCAGTTGCATAATTAGATTAAAACTTGTTATACACAGATGGTCACAGTAAATAAAGCAATCTACAACACTAGCCGCATGCCGCCCAGCCACTGTACATATACGGTGGCAGGGCGGCACTCACAGGCAAAACCACAATTTAAAACGTGTGTTTTGTAAACAAATAGGGGGCGCGCGAGGCGCGCTGCCGCCCTATTTGTCCTGTGGATCACCGCCGCAGATGTCAGTTGCCGGGTCACAGCCGCTCATTAGCGGCTATGTCCCGGCGATCGGCGGTAAACGGTGACAGAGAGCACAGCTGCAGTAGCTGTGCTGTCTGTCACCTCTCTGTGAGCTCGAGGATGAGCTGATCGAGAGAATAGTTTCACTTTCTCGATCAGCCTTGTTCCGCCCAGTACACACCCCCGCCCCCTAGTAAAACATTGTCCCCTCACTCCTATAACCCTTCCCTGCTAAATAAAGTTAACCCCTTCATCCCCACTGCCATTAGTACAGTGTCAGTTTTTTTTTTTTTGCACTGATCACTGTATTAGTGTATTTGGGGATGTCAGTGACCCCAAGTCAGTACCCCCCCAATGTCAAAATTCCGCCGCAGTCCCGCCATAAGTCGCTGGTCGCCGCCATAAGTCCCTGATCACCGCCATAATTCGCTGATCGCTGCCATTATTAGTATAAAAAAAAACCTAAAAATCCCAGTATCTTTCCCGCCATTTGTAAATGCTATAACTTTCACGTAAACCAATTATTTTACACGTATTGGGTTTTTTTTTTTTAGCAGACATGTCGCAGAATGCATTTTGGCAGAAATTTATGACTAAATTTGATTTTTGCATTTTTTTTTTTTTTTTTTTTTTTTTTTTTTTTTTTTTTTTACTGGACATGTTTTATAGCAAAAAGTCCAAAATATTTTTTTTTTTTTCCTCAAAATTGTCAGCTTTTTTTTTCTTTTTTTTTTTATAGCGCAAAAAATAAAAACTGCACAGGCGATCAAATACCACCGAAAGAAAGCTCAATTTGTGGGGGAAAAAAAGGATGTAAATTTCATTTATGTACCATATTGCATGACCGCGCAATTGTCCATTAAACTAGCGCAGCGCTGTATAGCAGAAAAATGGCGTAAATTGCAGTATCTATACCATAGTTTGTAGACGCTATAACTTCCACACAAAGCAATCAATATACACTTACTGGGATTTTTTTTTACCAAAAACATGTAGCAGAATACATTTTGGCCTAAATTTATAACCAACTTTGAGTTTACTATATATTTTTTTATAGCTGAAAATAAAAAATATTTTCTTCAAAATTTTTCGTGTTTTTTTGTTTATAGCGTGAAAAATAAAAAGCGCACAGGTGATCAAATTACACCGAAAGAAAGCTCTATTTGTGTGAAAAAAAAGGATGTAAATTGTTTGGGTGCAGCATTGCATGACCGCGCAATTATCTTGAATTAGTGCAGCGCCAAGTAGCAAAAAGAGGCCTGGTCATTAAGGGGGGGGGGGGGGGGGGGTTAAATCCTCAGGAGCTCAAGTGGCTAGTCTTGCAAAAAAAATGCTAAAAAAAATTCATATGGGTACAGTGTTGCATGGCCGTACAATTGTCAAAGTGTGAGCGTTGAAAGCTGAAAATTGGCCTGGACAGGAAGGGGGTAAGTGTCTGGACTGGAAGTGATTAAAGGTAAATGAACAAAAAAAAAAAAGCCAGAGCTGTTTGTGTAGAGGTTGTGCCCATTCACACTTTTCACATTTTTTTTTTTTCTGCATCAAAAACACTTGGGAAATAGGTTATATGGATTCCAATGGCATAGTTCATACAAGTGCAGTTAGTTCCAGTGCGTTTCAGTTTCAAAAAAAAAAAAAAAAAAATAGAACATGCTGCATTTTTCCAGCACAGAACTGTACTGCAACACTGTAAAATATATCAAAAATGCACTAGACTCCAGTACAGTTAACAAAAACAGGAAAAAAGCATCTGAAATGCATTAAAAAAAAAAAAGTCAAATTTGCATGTAGCAACGCATCCGGAACAGATCTGGAAAATGTTTTTAATGGTGAGAACAGCCCAAAGGGTGGGAGTGGTGAAGAGGAAGGAAGATTACTTTCAGGGTGATACAATGCCTGTGGTTTTTATTATTTTGCCCCTGACAGACACTTTAAAGTGGAATAACACTGCACTAAAAAAAAAAACACATTATGACAGAGTTGCTTGCCAAATGATCCTCTGTCCTGCTGATCACAGGCATATCCCTCTTCTAGTCTTCCTTCCAGGTTCAGATTCTTCGGCCTCTTGGTTGGCAGGGCTGGGATGATGTCACGTCTGTGCATGCTCACGGGAGTCACATTATCACGGCACAGTGAGCTGAAGTAAATGTATGCTGGCAGGCACATGTCCATTTCAAATGCTGAAAGGCAGTGAGAAGCCTTTTTGACAGGAGACCAATAAGATCTCTTCTGTCATAAAAATCCCAACAATCAGTGTTTGTTTTTTTTTTTTTTTGTATTTCAGTTTTCCTTGTGACCAAAACATTTTTTTGTTTTACATAGAGCAGGGAAGGATTGAAACCCCTGCACGGTTATTTTTTATAATAGCTGTGTACCATTGGGGACATTTCCCTACACTTCCTGTCCAATAAACACAACAAAGTTAGAGGGAATGGGAAAATTCACACTTGAACATTTCCTGAAGTACTTGGACACCTAACATTAAGATTCCCGTTATATTCAATATGCTCATTCACATCTAAGCGTTATGTCACTTGAAGATTTTTTGCTCAAAATATACTACAGCTTCTTTGGGCAGTTGTGTTTTTTGTTGCCTCTCCTAGTAACAAGTTTTCATTAGCAAAAAGATTAAAATAAAATGCGCAAGCCTGGAAATAGCCAAACAATGTGCATTCACACATTGAAAAAAAAAAAAATATAAAAGCTGCAATATGAAAACACTCAAGCTCAAATGTGAATGGGGGCTTAGGCAGTAGTAACACAACAACTGTCTCC